AAGGCCGCCCCGGCCATTTTTAAGCAGTGAAGGTCATGGCAGCCATTTTGATGTGGGCGGCTCCCCACATCTTAAAATATTTATTTCTGTCAGGACAGCTGAGGATTTCTGTAAATATTTTGGTTTATTATAATAAGCACTCCCCCTCTCCCATGAAAAACCATCTCAAAATATCTCTATTCTTGAGGTAAAGAACTTTTTTTTTTTTTGGAGAGATTTTTGCTATAGGGCACATGCGCTATAGCAATGTGAGAGAGAGAGCGACAGAGAGATAGAAGATAAGTCACCCCCAAGGAGGGTTGGCCATGCCACAATCCCATCTCTTCCATTCTCCTCTTGGCATCTTGGGGACGCACGCACACACGCCTGGCGTTAAGATTAAGCCACCAGGTCCAGGACTCGAACCGCATCCACTACATGGAAATCCAGTGACGTAGCCATTACGCCAACTGCTGGTCCTGAGGTAAAGACCTTTAACTAAATAACAACAACAACAACAACAACAACACCATCCTGACTTTTTTAAAAGAAGAAATTAAAATTCTTTTAGCTTGATAAATAGAAACAATCTTATTCTACTCTGGTGAACATAAATGTATTTTATACAGCAAAGTATCCAGTCACTCTTTGGCAAATGGAAAATGAGAAGTATTCATTTACAAGTTCTGCTCAAACACAGTGCAACACACTGCTACATTCATATATAATCTTTAAAAAAAAACTGTTACCAACACTCTTGTGGCAAAGACAAGGTTTTGCAATGAAAAAAAAAAAAAAAAAAAAAACAACAGGAGTTTTAGATCTTCAGGCTCCAGAGGGAATTACTCTGAGTCTTCATCAAGATAGTCCTCAGCATTGCTTAACATTTAAACTGCACCCGTTCCCTGTTTCTTTTTCAGGAGAGATGCACGGACAGCATTCATAGCCAGGTCGAAGGCCAGCTTCTTTTGTTTCTTAAGTCTGTTCTAGCATCTTTCGCCCGAAGCAACAGGACAATATCTGCATCACCCTTTCAGGCAGCTGCATGCAAAGCTGCATCTCCCAATCTGTTTAATGATGCAGGAACGCAGGAGTGTGGGAGGTGATCGGGTCCACACTTGCAGTGAGACATGGGTTCTTGTCCCACGTTCAGGAAGACTTAGAGTCGCAGACACAGTAGGTATAGCAATTTATTAATTAAAAGAGAGGGGAAGAAAAAGAGAGCTCCCAAAAAGGGAGGGGTCCTAGAAAATGGGTCGCCCGAGAGATTTCTTCTATAGGGTGCCTGTACTCACTGGAAGTAGAGAGAAAATGAGAGACAGAAAGTGAGAAATCACCCCCTGGGGGGATGGCCATGCCACAATCCCTTTGTTTCCATTTTTCTCGCGAGATCTTGGGGGTGCACGCACAGGCTCACGGCATGAGTTTTTAAGTTGCCAGGACTCCAACCATAGTAGACTGCGTGGGAGTCCAGTCACATAACCATTACACCGTTTGCTGGTCCCAGGTCGTTGGTTTTCTTATTGTTGAGTTTTTAAGAGTTTTTTGAATACCTTGGATAACAGTCCCTCAGC